GCTCACAGCAACCTCAAACTCCTGGGCTCAAGTGATCCTCCTGCCTCAGCCTCTGAAGTAGCTGGGTCTGCAGGTGTGTGCCACCATGCCCAGCTAATTTTTCTGTTTTCTGTAGAGACAGGGGTCTCTCTGTTGCTCAGGCTTGTCTCAAACTCCTGACCTCAAGCCATACTGCCACTTCGGCCTCCCAGAGTGCTAGGATTATAGGTGTGAGCCATGTGCCCAGCCCAAAAACTAAATTTAATCAACCATATAAATCAACTGCTGTATACTGTATAGCTTAAAGGTTTTCTAAGTCTGTACATGCATATACATGTGTATGTATGTATATATATGAACGAACGTATGTGTTTATTATTGAAGTCTGCTTTGTCTATACAGCAAAACAGCAAAGAAATATTAATACCAACTGGGTTGTGGGATTTAGAAAGATTTCTTTAAGGGATTTTAGGGTACATTTCTGAGGAATCCTTTTGAAGGAAACTTAGAACTTTGAGGATTGAGCTGAGATATCAAGACTTATATGAAGTCTTCTAAGGAATGTTAGGCTTGGGGAAAATAATTTATATAGAAGATATCCTTCTCTGCTCAGCTAAACATTTCCTATTGAGGTAGAATATTTTGAAGACTATTCTGTTTCTTTGTTTTCACTGAAAAAAAACTCTTCAATTAGATTATTGGTAGGAAATATTTAAAAGTAAGAAGTCAGATTTCTACTAAGGATTATATTGAGTTAATGAACCAGTTTGAACTGCTTCATGCCCAGTATTGATGCCTAGAGGTCCCCAGTCTAGCTTAAAGAATTTTTACTATTCTTCTGCCAAAGCATATAGATGAGTGTGATCTGATTCTTTTCTTTCTCTAGTTATGAAATCTGGAGATGTTATTTCTGTATACTCTGATATTAAAGGAAAATGTAAGAAAGGGGCCAAAGAATTTGATGGAACAAAAGTATTTCTTGGAAATGGAATTTCTGAACTAAGCCGCAAGGAAATCTTCAGCGGGTTACCTGA